CGCCGAGGGCCCCAGAGGCGGCCGCAGCCAGACTGCGGCAACTGACGCCCTGGGGCGCGAGAGGCCGCTGGACGGACCGACGGCCTCTGGACAGTCGTATTATTCACCAGGGTGGTCTCTCCTCCCCCTCCTCTTCCTCCCCCCCCCTCCTACCACCGTCCTTCCTCCCTCCTCCTCCTCCTCCTCCTCCTCCTCCTCCTCCTCCTCCTCCTCCTCCTCTCCTCCTCCTCCTCCTCCGCCTCCGCCTCCTCTCCGCCTCCTCCTCCTCCTCCTCCTCCTCCTCCTCCTCCTCCCGCCTCCTCCTCCTCCTCTTCCTCCTCCTCCTCTCCTCCTCCTCCTCCTGGTCCTCCTCCTCCTCCTCCTCCTCCTCCTCCTCCTCCTCCTCCTCCTCCTCCTCCTCTCCTCCTCCTCCTCCTCCTCCCTCCTCCTCCTCCCTCCTCCTCCTCCTCCTCCTCCTCCTCCTCCTCCTCTCCTCCTCCTCCTCCTCCTCCTCCTCCTCCTCCTCCTCCTCCTCCTCCTCCTCCTCCTCCTCCTCCTCCTCCTCCTCCTCCTCCTCCTCCTCCTCCTCCTCCTCCTCCTCCTCCTCCTCCTCCTCCTCCTCCCTCCTCCTCCTCCTCCTCCTCCTCCTCCTCCTCCTCCTCCTCCTCCTCCTCCTCCTCCTCCTCCTCCTCCTCCTCCTCCTCCCTCCTCCTCCTCCTCCTCCTCCTCCTCCTCCTCCTCCTCCTCCTCCCTCCTCCTCCTCCTCCTCCTCCTCCTCCTCCTCCTCTTCCCGACGCATGAGGAAGCACACGCCTGAGTGCCACCTGCAGGGGTCCAAGGTGGGTGGCGCTCGCCCCTTAGGTCGGGAGACACTTACGCCACCACGTTGACCGACTTGGCTCAACCAAATCAGCCCTCACAAGGGCCAAGTCATGAGGACCAGGCCGGATAGTCTACCACAGCCAGGGTGGTCGTGATCTTCGCCCCCGCGGCCGACGCGGCTACTCGACTGCAGCGATGGCAGCGGCGGCCTTCCCTTTCACATGGGGAACAAAGCCTGTCTCCACTCTCCGAATGGCGCGTTGGCCATGAACCTCAGGAGCCACACAGAGTCAAAGCAAGCCCAATTCGGTGCGGCTGCTCGCAGCCCCGCACCCATCACCCTCATCCTCCTCCTCCTCCTCCTCCTCCTCCTCCTCCTCCTCCTCCTCCTCCTCCTCCTCCTCCTCCTCCGCCTCCGCCTCCGCCTCCGCCTCCGCCTCCGCCTCCGCCTCCGCCTCCTCCTCCTTCTCCTCCTCGTCCTCATCTTCCACCTCCCCCTCCTCCTCCTCCTCCTCCTCCTCCTCCTCCTCCTCCTCCTCCTCCTCCTCCTCCTCCTCCTCCTCCTCCCTCCTCCTCCTCCTCCTCCTTCTCCTCTTTTACGGGCGCAGCCCGTAATTTGATTTTCGCGAGGTAGACAGACTGAACTGAACCACCAGGCTGTTAGATGGCAGTTTTATTTCCGCGGGTGAGGATATTTCGGTGGCAGTTTTAAGCCAGCGGGTGAGGGTATTTCTGTGGCAGTTTTAAGCCAGCGGGTGAGGATATTTCGGTGGCAGTTTTAAGCCAGCGGGTGAGGATATTTCGGTGGCAGTTTTAAGCCAGCGGGTGAGGATATTTCGGTGGCAGTTTTGAGCCAGCAGTTGAGGAAATTTCGGTGTTTCAGCGGGTGAGGATATTTCGGTGGCAATTGATTCCCGCGGGTGAGGATATTCTGATAGCAGTTTAAGCCAGCCTGGTGAGGATATTTCGGTGGCAATTTTCAGCCAGCGGGTGAGGATATTTCGGTGGCAAATTTATTTCCGCGGGTGAGGGCATTTTGGCGGCAGTTTTAAGCCGGCAGATGAGCATATTTGGGTCGCAGTTTTATTCCCGCGGATGAGGATATTTCGGTGGCAGTTCTAAGCCAGCGGATGAGGATATTTCGGCGACAGTTTTCAGCCAGCGGGTGATGATATTTCGGTGGCAGTTTCAAGCCAGCGGGTGACGATATTTCGGTGGCAGTTTTACTTCCGCGGGTGAGGATATTTCGGTGGCAGTTTTAAGCCAGCGTGTGAGGATAATTCGGTGGCAGTTTCATTTCCGCGAGTGAGGATATTCCGGTGGCAGTTTTAAGCCCGCGGGTGAGGATATTTCGGTGACAGTTTTAAACAAGCGGGCGAGGATATTTCGGTGGCAGTTTTATTTCCGCGGGTGAGGATATTCCGGTGGCAGTTTGAAGCCAGCGGGTGAGGATGTTTCGGTGGCAGTTTTAAGCCAGCGGGTGAGGATATTTCGGTGGCAGTTTTAAGCCAGCGGGTGAGGATATTTCAGTGGCAGTTTTCAGCCAGCGGCTGAGGATATTTCGAAGGCAGATTTAAGCCAGCGGGTGAGGATATGTCGGTGGCAGTTTCAAGCCAGCGGGTGACCATCACCCGCTCTATAACACCTCGATAACACCCGATAACACCTCGATAACATGTTTTCGAGATGTGTTCGAGATGTTATCGAGGTGCTATCGAGGTGCTATCGAGTGTGATCGAGCTCGATAACGCTCGAGAGCACCTCGATACCACTCGATGACACCTCGATAGCATGAGGTGTTATCGATGTGTTATCGAGTGTTATCGAGCGGTGGCAGTGTCAAGCCAGCAGGTGAGGATATTTCGGTGGCAGTTTTATTTCAGCGGGTGAGGATATTTCGGTGGCGGCCAGCGGGTGAGGATTAAGCCAGCGGGTGAGGATATTTCGGTGGCGGCTTTAAGAAAGCGGGTGAGGATATTTCGGTGGCAGTTTCATTTCCGCGGGTGAAGATATTTCGGTGGCAGTTTTAAGCCAGCAGGTGAGGAAATTTCGGTGGCAGTTTTAAGCCAGCGGGTGAGGATATTTCGGTGGCAGTTTTCAGCCAGCGGGTGAGGATATTTCGGTGGCAGTTTTAAGCCAGCGGGTGAGGATATTTCGGTGGCAGTTTTATTTCCGCGGGTGAGGATATGTCGGTGGCAGTTTTAAGCCAGCGGGTGAGGATGTTTCTGTGGCTGCATTGATCCAGCGGGCGAGGATATTTCGGTGGCAGTTTTAAGCCAGCGGGTGAGGATATTTCGATGGCAGTTTTAAGCCCGCGGAGGAGGAGGAGAAGGAGGAGGGAGGAACAGAGAATATCTGTGCTCGGCGCGGGCATCCAGCCGCCACGCGATGCGTCATTCGCTTGGTTGGCCCAGCCGACGGCTACGCATCCAGCGCGGTGCTGCGCCCGTATATATGCTCGCCCCTTGGCGTGGGGCTGGCGGGGGGCCAAGGGGCGAGCTGTCCGGTGATTCTCATCCTGCTCCTCTTCTCTCCCATCCTCCTTCTCCTCCTTCTCCTCCTCCTCGGGTGCAGGGTGCAGGCAGGGAGGGTCTTCCTCTTCTCATACCTCCTCAACCTTCTCCAACCTTGAACGATCGCGACTGTCCGACAACACAGATCGTTCGATGTCGGCCGAGTCCAGGCCACCCACCTTCTTCAACCTTGGACGCCCGCGCTGGGGTCGCCGCCGCGTCGACACGGCACGAACCTGCAGTACACCCCCTTTCTCGAGCGTGCAAAGCAGCAAGAAGCGGCACGGCGAGCTCCTCGGGAGATTGCAACTTCGTCGGCAGGGAGTCGAACTGCGTTAGCAGCTGGTCTCTGGTCTTGCCCCAGACGTTGACTTTGTCTAAAATCTCCATGACGTCCACGATCTTCAAAACGTCCGCTTGGACGACCTCTTGCTTCGAGTTCTGCAGCGCTTCAACCATTGTCTTGAGTGCGTTGCGCATCGGCTTGCTGAACAAGTCGGAGGAGTTCGAGAGCTTTTTGACCAGGCTCAAGGATCTATTTATCTGGGCAACCGACGTTTTCACAGGCTCTTTCGATACCTGCTGGAAAGATTCCCCCGCGGTATGGTCTTCCTCGAACGATTCCCGCAGTACTTCATACGACGCGTAAAAGGAAAGGAACACAACGCGCCGCTGATACTCAACCGAGTAGTGCCCGCAGAGGTTCAAGATGCAGACTACGACCAGCACCACCCCAGGCCATGCTGGGTCGCCACGCTGACTGCTGCCATCCTCTCGGTCGGGGCTGCGGAGAGCGCAGAGGGAGACGCGGGGAGGATAAAGCTCGACTCAACATGCGCTGCAACCAATGACCCCTCTACTTCACGAGCGCCACGGCGCGCTCTGCAATACATTGAACCGGAGGGAGGCGAAGCAAGCGGAAAGGGAGAGAGAGAGAGAGAGGAAGGAGGGGGGGCAGAGGCAGGCAGGAATACATGAAACACAAAAGAGGGCAAAGAAGAACATGTTTGCGTAGCTGCGCATGCTTTGTCGTGTTAGCCAGCGTGGACCCCGTACAATGTGTTCTAGCACTACGCTTTGTGTAATCTAGTAAGGCCTATCTACGAGGTGCAATCTAAGATGTGCAAGACTTGCTGTGCACTATACGCTGTGCAATATATGTTGTGAGTTATATGTTGTGTAATACTTGTGGAGCAATGAATGCGACGCACTCTACGTGGTGCAATATACATTTATATCTATACATATATATACATATATATATATGCAAGACTACATTGGCGCTTCGCGCCATGCACCTTGGTCCTTGAAGTTTGGTGTGAAGGTCAAGCGACAATTTAGCGATAACTCCGTGTTGCCTTTTCCGGCATCGCCGCTATAATAATGTTATTCGTTATCCTTCCTCCATGCTTCATTTTCTTCATTTTCGCCATACCCTGCGCATTCTCCCCATCCTCCGCAGCTCTTTTTTGCGGAGGCTCCTCCTTGGAGAGCCTCTGGGGGCCTCACAAAAGTTGCTTCAGGCTTTCATAAGGCCTTCTGGAGGCCTCCTGGGCGTATTCTGGGGGCCTCTGGGGGCTTCCTCGGGCCACCCTGCCTCCAACCGCGGTCTCCCTGAACGACCGGGTCACGATTTGGAATGCTTCGGAAGGTATCTTGGGGCCATCTTGGGCCGCCACGGGGCTCTCTGAAGGCCATCTCGGACCCATGTTGTGCCGTTTTGGGGCTCTCTTGGATTGCCCGGAAGCCCTTTCGGATGGTTATGAGGCGATTTGGGAGCCTTCCAGGCGGCTTCGGACGCCCAGAAGACCCCAGGCGGCTTCGGACGCCCAGAAGACCGCCGTCTTGGAGCGTCGGAAGCCGAAAAGAGGAGAACCCCCAAATTCACAAAAAAACAATAGAAAATCAATGATTTTTGCCTCTTGGGGGCTACTTGGGAGTGCTCTTGGAGGCCTCTTTGGGACCGTCCTGGAGGCCTCTTGGGCGATCTGGAAGTCACGTCGGTCACTGTTGGAGCGCTTTTGTGCTGTCTTGGGGGTCTCTGAAACGTCTCCGATGACCCCCCTGACCGCCTTAGGTGTGCTGGGAAGGCTTGGCAAAACGCCCTGCGAGGCCCGGAGGGCCGCTTCGAGGCCCGTCCAGAGGGTCCCAAACCCCCAGATCCCAGGAGTCCGGTTTTGGAGGGGGGGGGACCCCTTTCGCGTTCCGCCCGGATTGTAAAAAATATTTAAAAGGGTGTGTGTATATATATATATATATATATATATATATATATATATATATATACAAGACTGCAGTGGCGCTTCGCGCCATGCACCTTGGTCCTGGAAGTTTGGTATGCAGGCGGAAATGGCAGGAAGGTCAAGCCGACAGTTTAGCGATAACTCCTTGCTGCCTTTTCTGGGATCGCCGTTGTAATAATGTTGTTCGTAATCCTTCATGCTTATTTTTCCTCATTCTCGCCATACTCTGGGCATTCTCCCCATCCTCCGCAGCTCTTTTTGCGGAGGCTCCTCCTTGGAGAGCCTCTGGGGGCCTCACCAAAGTTCTCAGGCTTTCTTAAAGCCTTCTGGAGGCCTCCTCGGTGTGTTCTGGGGGCCTCTGGGGCTTCCTAAGGTCAACCTGCCTCCAACCGCGGTCTCCCTGAACGCCCCAGTCACGCTTTGGAATGCTTCGGAGGGTGTTTTGGGGCCATCTTGGGCCGCCATGGTGCTCTCTTAGGGCCATTTGGGACCCCTGTTGTGCCGTTTTGGGGCTCTCTTGGACTGCCTGGAAGCCCTTCCGGATGGTTGTGGGGCGAATTTGGAGCCTCCCTGGCGGCTTCGGACGCCTAGGAGACCGCCGTCTTGGAGCGTCGGGAAGCCGAAAAGAAGAGAACCCCGAATGCACCAAAAACCTACATAGAATCAGCGATTTGTCCCTCTTGGGGCATCCTTGGGGGTGCTCTTGGAGGCCTCTTGGTACGTTTTGGAGCGGTCTTTCGGGGTATGACGACTTCTTGGAGCGCTCTTGTGCTGTCTTGGGGGTCTTTGGGACGTCTCCGGTGAACCCCCCTGATCGCCCTGGGTGTGCTGCGAAGGCTTGGCAAAACGCCCTGCGAGGCCCAGGGGGCCGCTTCGACGCCCGTCCGGAGGGTCCCAAAGCTCCAGATCCTGGGGGTCCGGTTTTAGGGGGGGGGGTGACGGGTTTTTCCCCCGCCTGGGCTTAAAAAAATATAGGAAGAGGAAAATCGATATATGGTGCGATATACGTGGTGCAAACTACGTAGTGCAACCTATGGGGTGCACTCGACGTGGTACAAAAAATGTGGTGCAATTTAAGTGGTACATTTTACGTGGTGCAAGATCTGCTGTGCACTGTATGTTTCGCACGATATGTTGTACAATACATGTGGGAAATGAATATGGTGCAAGCTACGCTGTGAATCCATGTGGTGCAGTCCATGTGGTGCAAGCGATGCGGTGCAATCTACGTGATGCAATTTATGTAGTGCGCAATAAATGTGGTGCGCAATATGTGGTGCATCTGGCGTGGTGCTAGCTATGTGATGCACTCTATGGGGCGCAATATTTGGTGCAAACTATGCGGAGTACGATTGTTATCTATATTTCCCGTTCGCCGTATTTGTACTAGTCGTAGATTTCTTTCTAATACCATTATGTAATATGTTCTTGTTTGTATTGTGACTCCTCCTCCTCCTCCTTCTGCTCCACTTCCTCTTCCCCTTCCCCTGCTACTGGAGGAGGTCCTTGCAAGACTCCGCAAAGCCCAGCAGCAACGCGGTCACGCAGTACGACAGGCAGCTCGAAGCTGCCATCAGGCAGCAGCAACACCACCTGGGGAAGGGAGGGAACGGGGGAAGAAGGAGCGAGGTTCGGGCAGCGGAGCTTCGAGATTTTGTGAGCACGTGTTCGCCCTTTTCTTTTCGGATGCTGGATTCCCCTCAAAACCCGGGCCCAGGCGCTTCCCCGGAGCACCAGAACAAACCCAAAACGCATCAGCGATGCTGCTACACACACACACACACACACACACACACACACGCTCACACTTCTGCCCATGAATTTCGAATGGAAGTCTGAGGCGAGAGCCGCATGTTGAACAGGAGCCGTTCTTCACCCGTGCAGCTGCCAGCCCTTTGGGCGTGAGTGGTTTAGAGAGCCCGCTCTGTCCTCAACCCCCCTTC